TGTGCACATACCCTCACACAAAGTATTCCTCTTCCCAAATTAACCCTTTCTGTAACACTTCTTAGATTTTTTTTTAATGAAAGCTGAGATACAAATGTGTCCCTTTCGTACCAGATTTTTTTTTCACCAAATCTTCTGGATTGTAAAGGAAACTTTAATACTGATTTTTTTTTTTTTTTTTTACTTTTACTTCTTTCCTCAGTAATTAACATTTTAGAAACTGGTCAAGGAACGCACATAGTTTACATTCAGACTCTGTTTTTCTCTGGCATGTTGTCTGTCTTCTAAGAGAAATATTGTCACTGAACTGTAGATGTCAGTTGTGCCAATGCACACGTACACTCCCTTTCCGCATTGTTTCCCATGACACTTAAAGTTCAAAAGCTCTCTAGTTGCTTCAAAAAAATCCTACTCGATATAAAAGTAGCTGGTGCCTACCTTTTCTTTATTTCTTGCATAAAGTAAGGTTTTTTACACTAAGAATGTTCCAAATATACTTTATGTGAAATTGAAATAAGCCAAGCATGATTCTATATGTGAAAGCTTCTCACTCAGCAAACTTAACGTGATAAACCAACAGACGCTCTCCTGTGCTTTCAAGCATGTTTTGATATATGCCTCCTACAGGTTTTTAAACATGAAAAATTGCTATATGTGAGGTTCTGCTGACCTGGAAAATTAAAATCAAGGTCTGTCCCTTAAGATAACTCTGACATATTCCCTAAAGAAGGACGTTTTATGCCTAAAACTTGCCTTAAAACCTAGCATTCTTGTGCACAAGCAGCAGAGCTCTGAGACCATATTCACCCAGAGAAACACCCAATTCTTTGCAGGGTAGACATCTATTATTTGTATGTCTTGAGATTTAGGCACATTTCCATTCTAAACCACACTACACAGCCTTTTTCTGATATTTGCAACTTCATAAAGTAAAAGAGAAGTCTTTACCTTTTAATCTTGTGCTGGTTGCTTTCTGGTTTATCCTTTATAGAGGCACTCCTGAGGGTAAGCTTCCGTATAATCTGAAAAACATTGTTTCAGATATTTGCCTAAGTAACGTGTCTCGAGTGTCATTCCATTAAGGATTTTCTGCATGCCTTCTGCTTCTAGTTCTTCAAGAGTTGTCTAAGGGTTCATCTTCAGGAGCAGTGGTGTGAGAGAGAAGCTGACTCCGGCAACTACAGTAGACAGGCAAATTGATTACTTTCTACTTGGGGAATCTGGTTCTGCCTGTTTGAAAGGCAGCCTTGCAGAGGGGCGGATCGCTGCTGGAGCTGCCTGCTGCCAGGAAGTGTCTGGGAGCAGCTCCCTGCCAGGCAGAGGCCTTGTGAGCGGGATGTGGAGCACTGCCCACCTCTGAAGCACAAGCCCAAGTGCAGGGATCGCTTTCTTCTATGCTGAAGCACGACAGAAAAGGGCGAGGTCGTTCATACGTTTCCTCGAAAGAGGAAAAAATATCAGCATAATACCACCCTATATCGCGGTCAGTTCCTTAAATATATTTTAACTCCCTTTATAAGTTTGACCTAAAGGCTGAAGTGGGCAGGGGTGTACAGTAGGAAATGTATGACCTCTGCAAAAGCACTTCAGTTCTTGGGAAGCATAAGGTGGAGACAGCTATTTGGATATGCTTTGTTTCCACATACAGCACCTCAGCTGTGTTTTTTGAATACAGTCAGTATTGCAACAGGACTGCTGTGGAGAAAATGGAAGCTAATTGACGAAAAAGACAAATCTGAACACCTTTCAAGGTATTGGAGGTTAAAAATCAACAGCTACTGCAAGTTATAGGACATTAGTGTCATACTCACACTGAGCTACGCATCTTACCAACATGTCATTCTGCTTCAGCTGTGCTTTCTAGAATGTGCAGTCCAGTAACATAGTAAATAGTGCAGTTATTTAATCTTCAGGTGAGAAGGGAATAGGCTGTGGCAACAAACTCAGTGTTCAGAAATATTTTCTTTAATTAGATCTAGATGAATTGACAGCACTGCTGAGGAATGCTTTTTGAGACTAAGGGGCAGTGCAGTAGGATTTTTAGACTGTAACAAAGATAGGTTATGTGAAAAAAAAAAAAAAAGTGGAGGTAATTGTTTCCAATCTTTTAACTACTTTCTATAGCTTTCTTGAATTTAATTTCAGTTTTTCCCTGGTTTAGCTTTGGCCTTATTTCATAGCTAAATACTGAGGGGACATTACTTGTTCCAGCTGGTTGGTGAGAAGGAATATCATAAGCATATTTAAAATGTCAAAGGTTCTGTATCTGCATTGAACAACAGTTAGGGAACCTCTGCACTAAATCATACAAAACACTGTAGAAGTACTCTTTCTGGTGAGCTGTGGAAATGGATTAGTGAAGGAGGGGCAGGGAGGAGAATCTTATACTCTTTCTAGCTCTGCAGGCAAGACATCAGCAAAGTTTTGATTACCAGTAGGATGTAGGGGGGTTTGTCCCCAAGATGATGATAAATAAGTGAACCTTTTGGACCACAAATAGTTAAGACTGGTTAAGATTGGACATTTGAGAAGCTGTCTTTCTATGGTGTCCTTCATAAACTCTTCTTGAAAAGAAAGATTAGATAATGAATCATAGTGCATAAGGGTTTTTGAGTTGCAGATGCAACACAGCTTTTTTTTTTTTTTTTTTTTAATGTCTTTCTGAAGCTAAAAACTTTTGGGAGTAAAATAATTAAGAACTGAGGCTCTCACACTGCAATTCTGGAAAACAGGAAGGAATAAGGTTGTAGATCTAACTGAAGTGCTGACAAGTTCTGCTAACTGTGGAATGAATTCCTATCATTGCTCCTTCCTGGCAAGGAGTATGATAAATAAAAAGTACAAGCTTTGGCCTAGCATTCCCTAAAAGCTCTTTGAGTTAACGATGATGACTTGAGATTTCAGAAGAAAGGCTGTGACGTCTGGTTCCAAAACTATCTGCCTTTGCGTTCATGGAAGCCAAACATTTGTGATTTTATCCAGAAAGTTGAATCAGAGTTCTCAGGCAATGGAAGGGTTGCTAAATTTCAGACCAACATTATTTTAGTGGAATTCCTTTATTAGAGAGAGGCAAGTGCAAGTTTCAGATTCCCTACTGCTATGCAAATACTCCTCTTTGCAGCTGTTGCACTTAGCTTGGATTATTACTGTTGTAGAAAGTGCAAAATAAGATTGCATTGTATGCTTGTATTCCAAAATAGTCTACACTGTGTTGCTCGTAAAATATTATTTACTATTTTTTCATAGTTCTTAGAGTTTTACCATACTAGCCTTTGTTTAAAAGCAGGTAATGGGAGAGGAAAGACTATTTATTCTATTGTCACAAAGATTTTTTTACAGAAGATGGGAACAGCTCTTCTTTGACTTGGCCTCTTTTGTGAAGTTCTGTTTACTCCTTATAAAACTCTCAAGAACAACAATTACTTCCTATGTGTTTCTTTTTGTCATTTTTGTTTGTCTGTTTAAAATACATACTTTGGATTTCTACCTAAATTTCTCTATTTGTTGTTAAAATTTGCTTGTAAGTGAACTCAGAAAATAAATCATTAATCAACACGACTGCAAGTTTACTTTTTTAAGTTTCATCTTAAGGAGTACATCTGCTTGGCTAACACATTCTTAAATACTTAGGTAAACTTACCTTGTTAATCCATCCTACCTTCTTGGATGTTGACCAGTTTAAATCCATCTTAATCAAGAAATTGAGGTCTCAAGGATGATAAGAGTCCTGTGAGTTTCGTGGAAATTATCACTTGGATAGCTCAGAGAAATCCCCACAAAGCAAAAGTTTTTGCCTTTCTGTGAGAGTTGGTTGCATACAGGTTTTGGCAGCCACCCTTGTTTATTCTTACGTGTAGTTTGCGATGTACCTTTTAGGGTTTTAGATCAGCAGCTTTTCCTGTGTCGTTTCATATATAGAGGAGTTTTCAGTGAAACATTAAAATATTTGTCTTGATAAAAGGAAGTAACTTTCAATTATGTGGTTAGAACATAGTATCACCAGGTGTTTGCTGAGGTGGAGAACTTCAGTGTTTGGGATGTTTATAATTCTGGACAGCCCTCTTTCTTTTTGTAGTAGTTATTGGGAACAGTGTTGAAAGGAACATAACAGCCTCTGCTTCAGGGTGTATGCCCATATTAAAGTGTGAAATAATGAATAACATTCTTTGGGTAGTAAATCAGGTCTGTTTTGTGCCTTTTTAAAAACACACATTCTTGGCTGTAATGTTGGATGCAGTTACAGAGTATATGAAAGGCAAATCTGATGAACAACACCACTCCCCCAAAAACTGAAGATGTTTATCTTCTAGAGTCTTCTTTGCTACCTATCTCTAAGAAATAAGGCAATAATGGCACTTCATCTTACAGAATGTTTATATTGTAAGCTATGTGTTTCATACACCTGTTTGGTTTTATTGGGTTTTTTTCCTCCCTCTGTTGAATAGTAAAGTATGTTTTTTAGAGCCATTCATGCAAGTTCCTCCCTCTGAGTTTTAAGTCTTATTTACAAAAAGCAGGTTCAAAATATTACTTATCAAATTGGCATCGGAGAGAAGTTCTGGATAGTAGGCAGACCCAAGATCATCATGAAGCTGTATTTTCCAGGGAAATGCACATGGTTTGGAATGTTGCTGAACTTTGATCCATAGACTCCCAACAGATTGCACTGTATAGCTTTAAATGTAGATCAGTACAGTCTTTTACACTCATCTTTTTAGCTGTAAAATATAATTGCTTTGTCTATTAGTAATTATTAAATAATTACTAAGCACCGTAGTAATTATTTAATGCTAGTATCTGCTGAAAATAGTGCATGGACTAACATGTTTATTAAGTAAAAAGAACAGTTAAGAATTAAAGCTGAAAGAAGGCATTTTCTCTTTTCTTTCTCCTTCTTCCCCTTCTTCCTACTTTTGTCAAAAACACAGCTTTCAGACATCTGAGAATCTCTCTTGTGTCTGGGTGCTAAGTGTTTCTTTTGATCTTTTTTTTTTTTTTAGGCTGGCAAATAAGCAGGACAGAGAAGGAGCTCTGTCAGAAGCAGATGTAATTGAGTCCTTATCTCTGGAAAAACTTGTCAATGAACACAAGTGTCTATGTCAGATTGTAAGTATATTTTAAGACGCTTCATTTTCTAATATATATGTAAAGCTTGTGATAAGGTAGGAGATGGTGCTGCATAGCATAAAACTGAAACTAAAACCCTGCAATCCCAGCAAAGATACAGTACATGTATCTGTTCTGTAAGCAATTCTACTGTTCACCTTGATCTGTTGAAGAAAACATTATGACAAGGATCCTCAAAGTGTACCTTCTGAAACCAAGTAAGAACAATTTGTTACTGATGAGGTTTAAAACTTGTTTAATCGGACAGCAAGTTTAGTGTTCCACCTTTTTAAAAAGAAGTGGGAAATGGAATTTGCCTTTGTTGACATTCAGGAAGGATCACTGTTAGGATATGATGTTTGTCTCATTTCTGTTCATAGCTGAAACCATCATTTAGTCTGAGTCACCATCTGGCAAACAGTAAGAACTTAATCAAATTCCTAGGACATCTAATTCCCAGCACAGTAATCACCAAAGAACACTGTTAGAGCTAGTTGCTAGTTAATATTTGTTCTAAAATAACTACGTTTCAGATATAGTATTCACAGTCAAGTTTTGAAAAAAAACCCACACACATAAAAAAACGGGGGGGGGGGGGGGGGGGGGCAAAAAACAAAAAATTTTATGAAAGCTACTTAATACTAATAAGTAATTTATACAGGTCCCTGAAGTTTTCTTTAAGCCTTTGTTTTAATCAACCAGTTTGTTATAGTTAATATTATGTTAACTATTTGTGGGCTTTACTTTTTTTTTTCTAATTGCTATAAGAAACATTTTAAAAGGTAATGAGAGTTATGCTGTTATTAACCAAAATTAGAAGGCAATTTTGCAAAACCATTCCAGCTGATATTTGGGCTTTAAAACTTTAAAAAACCTTTTAATTCCCTAGGGAGAGTTGCAAAATTCGTAGGGTAATATGTATTGCTATTATTTTCTCAAGAAAGTTGAGTTATAGCAGGGCATAGCTATGTTCACTATGTCGTGACTCTTTGAGTGCTTTTCTTCAGTCAGTGGACTTTGCACTATGCGTAAGTAGCAATCATAAAAATAAAAATTGCATGTTTGCCTTTTTTTTCCAATGGACTTCTGTGGCAAAAATATTTTCTTGCACAGCATTATCAGTATAAAAGACCTGAAAGATTCTAATGTATTTTTCCAATACTTTAGAATTATTTAATGTATGACGTGTTCTGGTAAAATGCAGTTCTTGTTCTCCATTTATATCTTGGGTGTAGTCAACAAAGAAACTAGATCACATACTCTAAGTCATTTCAGCTGAAAGCAGCTGAGAGTCTTACATACGCAAATGGACAGCTGCTTTACTAGGCCCATTAAAGGTAAACATGGTCCCAACTTATTTCAATATGGTGACTCATGAGGTGAATTTAAACAGGAGCATTGTGAAACAACATTTAAATAAAATTAGGCAAGGGCCAAAAAACCTTTTGTTTGTTCTTATTCTTTTAGTTAGTTTTCTCTGGATCTTTAAATTTCCCCGCAAAATTTTAGAGCAAATGGAAGGAGTCATTTGTCTCACTGTCACACAGTGTCAGTGAGAATGACCTTCCTCTTTTTCTTTTTTAATATGTCTGTGTATTCTATATTTCTAAATTTCTGTATTTTGTAACTGAACTATAGCAAAAATAAACTTGGTGCAAATGGAGAAGAAAATTGCCCCAGTGCTGTCTATTGTTTTATCATAGTTTTCTCAGAGAAACAAGGTATTATTGCCTATACATCATCTCCCTGATTAGGTTCTGCTAAAGAGTATTGTAGTGTTCTGTAGTGAACAACACTCATATTTGAACATTAATTTAGACAAAGTAGGAATGTATTAAAATGCAAACTAGGATTGGCCCTCTGGGGGGACATAACAGGTCAGAATTTTTTTTTCTGTTGTAAATTGTACATACCGTATCTGATTATGGTGCCATTTAAATGCTTGTCAAATTAAGAGATAACCCAGAGAATTTTTTAGGTGTTGACATTGGAGAGTTAGTCTTTTTTAATCTTCCTTAATTCATAAACACAAATCCTGAACACAATCAGTGTGAAATATCATTTCTTCATGTCAAATACATAGCTGTATCTGTTAAATTATTATTAAGAGAACAGTTTAAAAGACCCATACAGTGCTCCAAAGCATTCTGGAAAATAGTTCTGAAGAGATCTTGAGAGGTCATCTAGTCCTTTTCCATGTTCTAAGCTAGAATCAAACCATATCTCTCTTGTTCCAATTAAAGCCCATTATACTACTTCTTCTGACTGTGAATACGAAGAGCAAATTATTCTTTTCTGATTTGCAGTTATGCCTTATGTTTTTGAAGGCCATTATCATACCTCCTTGAAGCTTTTTCATCTCAAGAGAACCACTCCTGCTCCTTCAATGTCTTCTTACCAGATGTGTTTTCGTAACAGATTTTGTCTGATTTTTCTCACTTTGCTCCTCTTGATTTCTTCTAGTCAAATCCACTCCCTGAATAGTTGCATACTACTTTAGCAATGGGTTTTGCACGCATCTTCCAATAGATTTGCCTAGATCATGTTTCTCTTGCTTGCTGATGAGAATATCACGACAAAAGTTTTACTCCAATCAAGATGCATAATATTTTGCTTCACCCCTATCCACAATACCTGTTCTGATCTAAAATATTGAATTAGTTTGACAGTTTTTCTGACAAAGTCACACTGGATTTTATTTATCACTTAGGTGCTTATGAACAAGTCGAACATTTTTTTCATGAACTGAAGCTAAGCTGATTCTCTTCCATCCCATTTTTTGCGTTTTACTAGAAAAATATAACATGGACTATTTATAAACCAGCAGCAAAATAGAACATAGGTATTTGGGGTTGATAAATTATATTTCTGTATACATGCATAGATATGGATGTGTCTTAGAAACAGGTGTGTAAATATACATATGTAACAGGGATATATATATGTCTAGAGGTAGACATGCAAACTAGTTTTTCTATGCAGTATTCTAGTATTTTTGAAATGGGAATGGAAAGAATGTAATTTGGTAGAACTTACGTGATTTGTATCTTGGCAAAGAAAGTACCTACAGTTATAGAATACCTAAATGCAAATTTATTTCCTGTTCTCAGTGTTTTGCAAACTTCACGGTAAACAGCAATCGTTTGGCTGATTTCTTATTTTCAGTCAAGGAATGTGATCTGAACTGCAAATAATTTTCCCCTCCTTCTTCTTATATTTACAGGAACCTTGCTCAGCTATCATGGGCTGTGGGAAAAAAATTGATAAATCAATAAAAAAGGGGTTATATTGGCTTCTACATATAATAGCGAAAGATTTTGATGCCTTAAATGAGCGCATCCAGAGAGACACTACAGAACAAAAAGCATATGAAGAACAAAAGAAACTAGAACGAGCTGAGCGAGTGAGAAGGATACGAGAAGAAAGGTATTCCCTCTATAATTTCTCCTACTTCCCCTTCCTCCCTTTCTCCAAGATACTTGATTCATTCCTCTATGAAAGACCTTATGGGAACCAAGCTATCAAGGTTTTAAAGCTTATAAGCCAAGAGTCCCCATATTAAAAGTATGGACCTGAATGCTAGAGCCTTTCTTTAAGACCTACAAGTTTTTGCCTGGTTCATCCCCTTTACTTTATTCACTCTGTGCTGGAAATGTACTGTGTATGAGAATTGCAAGGTAGTTGTGGAATAAATGGCCTTGCTAGTATAACTTCACAGGAGGCTAACCTAAAAAATAAATCCTATAATTTAATCTTAAATTACCTTCAAATGTGTTCTAAGATAAACTTTTATTAACTTAAGTTAGTCTTTGTAACCTGTATGTGAACATCAAAGACTAGATGTGAAACTTTATTTAATGCTGTGCTTAATAAACTTCAAGATATCCAGCAGGTGAGGCATGGAAAGACTTAAGGTGATGCAGGGAAGAGGAAGCAGGACAAGAGACTTACTACTTCCCTTCAAAGCCCTTTGTGTTCATCAACAGCCCACCATGGTTCCTATCAGACACTAATGTGTATCATTTTACTAGAGCATTCTTAAAAAATTCACTGAGCACACCTGTGCTCCTGTCTGCCCTATATATCCAGAGATTTGCAAGTCTGTTACTGTGAGAAGTAACTATGAAGCTACTGTGAGGCATCTTGGCTTGTACTCTTGCTGATTTGGTTTACTTCAGCAAGTATATTACTTAAACACTTTTTAAACACCTCAAATTTGACACTGTCTTCATATGTATTTCGCAAACTTACAAAAAAATCATATGCTGTTAGTCTCCCAAATGTCTCTGCATAGACAAAACCCTCTGACCATGTTGAATTGTGTTGGGTTTATGCCATGTTGAGAGGTGTAGTGAGGAGGAATGACTTTGAAACATGTCTCAAAGAGATTGTCTGACAATGCAGACATTTTCCGTATCTTCTGTTCCCACTCAGTGATCGTGTATGTATTTGTTCCCTGGAAGAATTGGTTGGATCTGAATTGGATTAAAGGCTTAAAAGTTTAGCAAAATTTCTTGTGGCTTAGAGGAAAGCTAACTGGGAACTTCTGCTGGTTTTACCTATAGTTGAGGGCTTGTCTCAGATGTAAGAGATGGCATTAACTCTCATTTTGCTGTTTTGCATCAAATTGATTTCTTACTGTAAGAAACAGGTCAGTCTTGATTCAAATGGTTTCATTCCATGTTTTAATAATTCCCTAGGCTGCCTTTTGTTCAGATTTGCTTCCCTGAATGTTTTCTCAAAGTGCATTTCCTCCACAATACGTTAGTAGCAATCATTTTGTTCCAAATGGAAAACCAGGGAGAGAGGCAGTGCCTGTAAGTTTTAACACAGCACTGGCCGCCCCTTACAAGTGGCACGGTTTCATAGGTAGATGGGTGACCTCCTTTTCATTCCCATCTGTGCCTCTGAACAGCGGGGTTAATTCCTCTCTCCATACTTGCAGCAGTAAAGTAGGTGTTACACTGACTTCTATGCCCAAGTACCATCAGATCGATTGTTGAAAAGTATTTGATGAGCATATACTTCATTAATGATATATTATTTAATACATACTAATTTGATATTTCTTACATAGAGATCTAGTACATAAAAAGTAACTAGCGTTGGTGCAACAGCAGATTACTGAGCATTACCCGTCTCTCTGAACCCTTCTGAGTCTAGTTGAAGCAAGTATTATTCCCTGTTACTACAAAAGCTGAACAGTCTGGCACCAGTTGTCCCTTACATCTATTAAGATGAATTGAGAATTATGAGAAATGGAGGTGTATTAAAAATAGAAGAATAGGTTTTAGATAGTTTGGCTTCCCACCACATAGATTTCTTTTTTTTTTTTTAAATGATTGAATACCATGAAACAATTGCTATAAAAGATTACCAAGATGAAAATTTCAACATACTGTTGAACAATCAAAACCTTCCAGTTACAGGTGTATTCTGTTGCATATCTTGTCCTTAGAAACTGCTTCTACTTCCTGAAGCGCTGATTGACCATTCAGGCACATAGCAGTGTGTGTTTCTACCTCTGCCATAACGTGTACTTGTGCTTTATTGATGTTAGCCTGTCATTGTGATTTCTGTGGAATGTTTTCCAAACTACAGAAGCATATTGTAAATATCAGCTGGCATAAATTGGAGGATAAGTTAGACAACCTAAAAAGTGATCTCTATTATGTGAAATTTATGGCTTGGCTTCTTCATAATTCTTTGTTCATCCCCGCCTTC